CTATTATGTGAATAGAAATATTATTATTATTATTATTATTATTATTATTATTATTATTTTGTAATTTATATTTTACATACTTATAATAAAAAATAATAAATATCTTTAGTAAAATTATATTAATAAAAAATGAAACTATAAAAGTTACAATGATGCGAAACTATATAAATTATATTTATGCAAAAAGTTGAACAATGAAAAATTACATCATAGAAAATAGATGTTTATATAGTTTCATTTTTTTATTAATATAATTTTACTATCTTAGTTTCCCATCAGTGTAATTCCAATGTTTTATCATTGTAATTTATATAGTTTATTTTTTATTAATATAATGTTACTAAAGATATTTATTGTTTTTTATTATGAGTATGTAAAATATAAATAATAATAATAATAATAATAATAATAATAATAATAAAACTTTTATTTTTATAATAATAATAATTGTTTTACATATTTATATGAAAAAGTAAAGTTGGTTGGGCCTTATAATAAAAGTTAACTAAAAAGTAAGCCATAAAATGAAAATAACCTAAAATGTATGCCTTCAGTTGAAAAGGTATAAAATTCAGGCCTTATATTAGTACATATACTAAAAGTTAGGCCTTCCAATAAAATTTCCCCGATAAGAAATTGTTGTTCCATTTGCAAAAATGAAAACAAAATTGAACAAACTCACACACGCATTTCATCAAACATCTAGCCAGTGTTAGGGGTGTTCACGGTCTGGATTGGTCCGGTTTTAGCTCAAATCATGACCAAACCGGACCTAACGGTTAATTTTTTTCTTATCCATAACCGGACCGGTTTTATTTTTTAACCGGCCACAATCCAGACCGCATTGGATGGTCCGGTTTGGCGGTTAACCGGTTAAATCCAAAATTCTTGTTTTGTGCCTTCAAATTTTTTTTTTCATTTTGGGCTTAATTTTTATTTTCCAATTTTAGGCCCAAAATAGATTATTTGGGCCTAAAAATTAACGAAAAACAACAATAATCAAAATAAAAAATACACAATTCATCCCATAAGCATAAAAATACACATTTCGTCCCGTAAACATAAAAATACAAAATGATAGAAGATTAAATAATGCAAATTGAAACCAAACAAGGTGGAAAAAAGTGAAAAGTTATAGTGTCTTACAAAATTAAGTCAACAAAATGCCAACAAGTGAAAGTGAATGTATTATATTTGTCGGTCATAATGAATGACTGAATGTATATATGTATATATATTTGTTATAGTTTTTTTTTATATTTACTGGTCCGGTCCGGTTAAACCGGCGGTTTGCTGTAGGTAATCCGTTAACCGGACCAGTTATTCCGGATTTTTAAAAAAATTAACCAACGGATTTTTTAAAATTTTTTTAACCAACTATTTAACCAATCCGCGGTTCAGATTGACAGTTTTTTCCGGTTAAAATTGAACTGTGAACACCCCTAGCCTGTGTGATATCAATTAAATCAAAGAGCAATTGTTGTTTAGAATTTTTGCTAGGCCAAACCTTCCCTGAAATTGACGTCAAGGTAACATCTTACATTTATAACAATTCATTGGGTCTGCTGATTCTTCGTACCATTGATCTTGATTTTTTTACCAAACTGAAATTTCTTCTGTACCAGCCTTCGACGCTCATGAACTTCAATATTCCTGACTGTCTTTTTTTCTTTGATTTTGCTTCGTATGTCCTCAGTACTCTTGCTTCGGATGAAGTATCAAATGCATATTCTTCATCCTTCTTTTTTGCCATCGGGAAGAAAATTGATTTTCTGCTTTTGATTTGAATAGATTAGTATCAAGGCCCATCTTCTTCATCTTCTCTGCAATTGTCGCCTTCTTCTCCAGCCGATACCGAGTTTTGCGACCTTCGGCCCGGATCCCGCATACTCTGGCTCCATAGCTTGGCCCAACCCCCTTCGTTGAGTAATCTCACACAAGAAGAGAAAATTGGTCGTCTTTTTGGAAAGTTCCTCGGAGGAAGATGGGGACGATTGGTTTCAAAATTAATTAGGATAAGAAGAAAGATAACGAGAGGAAAAGAAAGGGAGAGGAGAACTCAGTTTTGCTATGGAGCCATCGGATGGTTCAGCTTATAGAGCCATCCAAAGTTATTCACAAATAGTGTATTGACACGTGTCCTACAATAAATGCACTTTGGACAAGTGTCAATGCACTAAGTGATGGATGACTCCATAGGAAAACCATCTGATGGCTCCATAGAATTTTTGGAGGAGAACTTAAGAGAATTGAAGGAAAATTAAAATACAATTTTTATATTCGAGAAATTAAAAACTTTAACTATCGTATTTATGTGCTTAAGAGAATATAGGAACGTCGAGGGGTAATTATCTCTAAATAAAATTCCATTAAAGTAACGGACAACAGTCGTGTCGAAAAATGTCAATTTTTGTACCAGCTAGGTAAAAACAACCAAATTAAAAAGAAATTGATGTTAATTTTGAAATTTAATTAACTTCTTTTCCTTCTTTCTCTTTTATAATGAAGGTAGTTACTAAAGACCTTACTCTGCTAATTACCCAAAAGCTGTGAGTTTTGTTTGCTATAGTGACAGGAAACTCAAGAATGGACCAAGTGATTCTAAACACAAGCAATTTGCAGGGGATAATCTAAAAGGAAACAGGAAAGCCCGACTAAAGAAGGTCACAATGTAGTAAGAAATTCCATGAGCAGCTACTTCTGCGCACGACTACATTAATAGCGATCGATGTTAAACCACCGATAGTTAGCCAATTTCTTCTTCAGGCAAAGCATCAGGGACAAATTGATGGTCAAGACTCAAGAGATACCTGCAACAAGAAAATTAATGCTAAACCTATATTAATAACACTTTATCATTAAGAGTAACCCAAAAGTTACTCTTGGATTTCATGTTACCTTGGAAATGTAATATAATTAGCTGTCATTCTGCAGAGGTTTGCATAAACCTATATTGCTATTATTGGTACTATCCTCATGCGAGTAAGAGTTGTATATAATAATTAATGATAGTAAATGATAGACTAACAATCATCAGATTCAAAATCATACAACAGTCAAAAATTAAATAAAAAAACATAATTCAATATGTGCTATCTTGGAATGCATTAGTATCCTCATGGCTCATGCGAGTAAGAGTTGTATATAATAATTAATGATAGTAAATGATAGACTAACAATCATTAGATACAAAATCATAGAGCAGTGACAGATTAAATAAAAAACACAATACATCCCAACACCTTATTTAATAACACACACATTAGAGACTAAAATCAAAATACCTCACAGATATTAATAAAGCTTAAAGTACATCCATAATTTCTTTGACAGAGCCATTAGGGATTTCGGCCCAACACTCTCAAGAGTTTCCTCCATCGGATAACAAAATACAGATAAACACTGTCCCACAGTTTCTGAAAGAACGCATAATAAACTTCCCTCCAATTCCTCTTAAAAAACAGTGCAGATAGGACAGTAGAAAGCCCAACAGCGTACCCTAGTGACAGGAATGCGTAAAACCAATTAATCTTTGGCTTATCGGCTTGTCGGCCTTGAATCTGCACCTGTGTCGGGGCAGGGACATTACTATCATTTTTGCAAGAAATCCATAGTGGAAAGCCACAAAGATTATTGTCCATGAAGCTTGACTCGTTGAAGCTCCCAATTTGGGTGCTTTGTGGGATTCTTCCTGTCAAGTGGTTGTACGACATATTCAAGTAGTTCAGAGAAGTCATGATTGACATGCTACCTGGAATGTTGCCGGACAGTGAGTTCATTGAGACATCAAGAGATTCGAGTTGCCTCATGTTTCCAATGTTGTCTGGGATGGATCCTGTTAAATTATTTCGTGACAGGTTCAGTGTTCTTAGCTCCACCAGACTTGTTATCTCCCTTGGGATATCACCAGACAAGATGTTGTTTGAAAGGTCAATACTGATAACTAAAAAGAGATTGGCGTCATATGTGAGTTCTCTACCCTTTATCGCAATTGATGCACTTTCGTGAATTTGTATTCCATATGTAACAGATCCTAGCCTATTCAAACTTTCAATAGATAGAGAATATTGTGGCCTATCCAACATCCTTTTAGTGGTCATTGTGGTAAGATTGTTGAGGCATTGGGGTAGCCTCCCTGTCAGTTTGTTATTAGAGAGATCCAAGATTTGAAGAGAAGTGAGCTGACATATGGATGGACTAATTTCACCTCTGAGATTGTTGGACTGTAAAATCAGAAATCTCAAGTTGAAAAATCTTGTGTCAATCCATTTTGGTATGCACCCACCAAGATTGTTATCAGCAAAGTCGATCTTCATTATTTCCGTGCAGTTTTGCAATGAAGAAGGTATGTGGCCAGAGAAATTGTTTCCGTGGAGATTCAAAGACACTAAATGTTTAAGAAATCCCATGGAATCTGGTATTCTTCCGGACAATTGGTTGTTGGCTAAGTTCAACACTTGCAATGATTGCCATTTGATAAAGCATTCAGGTAACTCGCCAGAGAGACGGTTTCGTCCAAAATTTATAAGCACTACATTGGATGAATTCATCATTGGAGAGATACAAAAAAAATCTGACAAACCTCCGGAAAATGAGTTATTGGAGAGATGGATTTCTAAGAATGAACTTGTCATTAGTTGAGGCAGTGGACCACTAAACCTGTTGGAACTCAAGTCAAAAAAATGTAAGAAATCATAATCATGCCCACGATCACTAATGGATAAAATCTTTCCGTCGAGTTGGTTATGCGAAAGGTTGAGAAGTCTTAAACTCCATAACCAGCTGGGAACGTTTCCATTGATTCCAGAACACGACAAATCAAGACTGGAGATACTCTCTTTCTGAGTCTCAAGCCATAACGGGATTCGAGACCCCAAGTCCCAAGACCCTAGACTAAGCGTCTCTAGTTTGAATGGCGGAATCCAATCGGGGTCGACTTTCAAAGTCAAGTGGTTTCCAGAGGCATGCAAGACTTTTAAATTTGAGAGATTGGCAAAGTGGGTTTCAGTCACAACCCCTTCCAACGTGTTATTCTCTATCCAAAGCTCTGTAAAGTTCACAAGTTTCCCAATACTCTCTGGTAAGTTCCCCGTCAATTTATTATTATCCAAATATAACCTTTCAAGAGAAAGCAAGTTCCCTAACTCATCTGGAATTACACCGGACAATGAGTTTTTTCCTAGATTAAGGGATCGCAGACGCGTAAATTTTCCAAATTGAGGAGGCAAATGACCAGACAGCTGATTCTCAAACAAAGTTAAAGATTCCAAAGCTCCTAAGAAACAATCTGACATATTTCCAAATGAATCCGATATTTCTCCACCCAACTTATTATAAGACAACCTCAAGACATGCATATTGCACAAATTTGCAATTTCCCTTGGTATTTTTCCAGAAAGTTTGTTTCCACGTAAGTTAAGGTTACTGAGAGATGTCAGATTCGCTATGGAATTGGAAATTCCATCTCTTAGAAGATTGTTTGCCAGACTCACATATTCAAGGTGTTTGGAGGAGTAGAGCCACTGTGGAATGCTTGAATTCAAATTGTTATTGGAGATATCAATGTGCTGGAGTTTTGTGGTGTTGCTCATTGATGGAATTGGGCCTTCGAATAAGTTGGAGCTCATATCAAGATAGGTAAGGTTTCTGAGTTGAAAAATCCATGAAGGGATGATGGCATAAGACAGGGAATTGTAGGAGAGATCAAGTGCATCTAAATTAGAACGGCTGATGTTGTTAACATCATTCAAAGTAGCCATAAAATTAAGATTACAATGATTCAATTGCAACTCGACTAAAGAAGGGAGGTTGTTGATCACCTGTTGTGCCCAATTGGTTGCTTTGCTGAGGTTCACACCATTCATGTTGAGGTGCTCTAGTTTACGAAGTCCCGACAACCATTCAAGAATATCAGCATTCAACAGTTGTTCTGAACTCCCCAAACTTAGAGTGTTCAAATTTGAAAGATTTCCAATATTGTGGGGAATCTTTCCATAAAATCCAGCGAATGACAGGTTCAAGTACTCAAGGCTTGCGAGTGATCCAACGAAAAAAGGGATTTCTTCCTCAAAGTTGTTTTGGCTCAGGTCGAGATATTTCAAACGCTTCAAGTTGGGCAAAGATGAGCTTATTTTTCCACCTAAATAATTACCTTGGAGATGGAGTTGAAGAACTCGGCCGGTTAAGTTACTGCAAACAACACCTTTCCACGTGCAACAATCATATTTAGTATCCCAAGAAGACAACACGTCTGATGAACCATTTATAGATTGCTTGAAGCTTAGAAGTGATTGTTTTTCAATTTCATGGCAGTTGATACAGTTGCTTAGTTTGAAGGACACGAAAAAAAGAGCCAAAAACAAAGATGAAAAGATAGAAGGTTTTGGTCCACTCATTATCATTATCTTAATTTGCAGAGTTTCTGATTAGGCTTGGAATTTGAACTGATGATGGGATTGTACAAAGACTAGCTGAAAATGATTGGTTTTGGTCCACTAAATACATACATCTTCACATGTAGAGATATATAGTGAACCTTTTCTTGCATGCATACATATTAACTTGAGCAGACAAGTATTGACTTGTCCTCATCATCTCAAATAGCTTTAAGACGACCTTGTCTTTGACTTGGTCTGAACACAATAATCTTTCAAAGATGAATTGATTTGAAATTTGTATTCTTTAATGGCCACACAAATAATATTGGAATGAAGACTGGACACCTCTAAGGAATTAATTATTGATTATACGTGTTTTATTTTAATATGCTTTTCATTTTAAAATCCAATTAGTGATGAAGGAGCTAACAATGGTGCAGCATTTTTAAACCGTAAAATGGATGAAGATTTTACCTTTATCAACTGGGGTGGCATCTTCTTTCGATTCACAGATAAGATCACTTCTCCCCACAAATTATCCATCCAAAACAAAAAAACTCAATCTTTACTCGGCATTTCATCAAACAGGCGGCGGGTCTCATCAACTCCGGCCCGATTGACACCGCATTGGGCTTCAAGTGACCGGATTGAGAACCGGGATTCACAGTGAACGTCGAAAACGCTACCACGCCAACGAATTTAAACCCAAGGGTTCCTCTGCGCGCCGAACTGAGTTGGCGATTTTTCTCCTGCCTGTGCTGGATGACGGTGTTGGCGACCGGTTTTGTCGAGGGCCGACGCCGGGAGAAGGTCGCAGAGGCAAGTGCGGGGCGGCTTCCTGCATGACGGCCAAGAGTATCGCCTGGCCGTCCCAGCTTGGGTCACCATTTGAGAGTGGAATCGTGGATTCTGATAGGGCTTGAGCTGTGGATTCAGACCCAATTAGAATCCAATTAGAATCCAATTAGAGCATTTTTATTGGTTGTCATGTACAACTTAAGCATTCATCATTTATTCCTCATTAGGCCGTCCCAAGTACAACCCAAGCACTCATCATTTATTCCTCATTTAATTTTTATTTTAATAAATGAAATATATTATAGCATTTTTATTGGTTGTCATGTATGCTAGACCCAGTATTTTATTTTTGCATTGAATAGTTTTTGAGTTTTTTTTACTTGGGTTTGTCCATGTCATTTAGAACTTAAGTCTATTTATATGCCACATATGAAAAATTAGACCGAAAACATTGTGGGTGCTCTAAGGCTCATAGGCAATCAGTAGTCATGGCCCGGTCCGCTGGTTTAAACCGAACTGGCCCGGATTTGGCCCCAACCTGAGCCCGCAGTTTGACCAAGCCGGTTTTCAGCCTAATGTGTACAATATTTTGACCTGACGGGGCGGGCCGGCTCGAAACTCAGCTCTGGACCGTTGGGAGTCCAGTCGTAAAATATGATGTTGAAAGATTTGACCGTCTGCAATTTGATTTTATTATTTTTTTTTAATATTGGTTTTGGTTTGGTTCAAGTCCGGGTTTGACCCGGTCCGCCAACAGTCAATATTCGACCGACCCGAACCCTGTGGGTACTCTTAATGAAAAAGATTTGAAAATTTTAAAAATATTGTACATAAGTGGAATTTACCACTAATTATCCTTTCATTATTATATATGTATGTTATTGGTATGTGTGCCCAAATTGCCTATAAAAGGGCAACAAATGTAGTCATTTTGTGATGTATGTAAAGTGAAGAAAGAAAGAAAGAAAGTCTGTTACAGTTTATATCCAGTTTTTACATTGTGTTCTTTATTTTCATCGCATTTCATAACACGTTACAGCACGAGAGCTCTACCCGGTCAAGAAACACGTTACAGCACGAGAGCTCTACCCGGTCAAGAAAGGTAGGAATATAATAATAATAATAATATATATATATATATATATATATATGTATATGTATTATATTTCACTAATATACATATTACCATTATTCTTGACAAGTTAGGCTCTGCCACAGTCAAGGATATGTGGTATGAATATACCAAATATGAATATATTACCATTATTCTTGACAACTTAGGCTCTGCCACAGTCAATGATATGTGGTATGAATATACTAAATATGAATATATTACCATCATTCTTGACAAGTTAGGCACTGCCACAGTCAAGATATTTATACTAAATATGATATTATTTACAAATTACCATTATTATTGACAAATTAGGCTATGCCATAGTCAATAATATGTGGTGATATAATATTATTAAATTTGCTTATGAATTATTATTCAAGTTATAATAAATAATATTATTACTTATAATATTTCACACCCACAAAATTGTTACCCAGTAATGTGGCGTGAAATTTATAGCTGTTTATTCTTGTACCCATCGAAAAATTTATCGAGTAGTGTGGAGTGACATTTTTATTTGCTTTGTTATTTATACTCATTAAATTGTTTATGTAATTTTTTTAAGGTAATATACATGATTAATTAGAATTTTATGATCATAAATGATTAATTAGCAATTATTATATCATTAAATTTGTTTCCAACGGCTAGTTAACGGTTATTTTTGTAACGGCTATTTACCAATATCTATATATAACACTACAATTCATTTTCATAATTCAAACACTCAGAATATATTTTTTTAAGAAAAAAAAAAATGTTTGATCCATTACTTATAATTATCATTATCTTGTTTATTATATATGTTTTGCTAATTTTCACGATGATGTATCGTACTGTTGGATTTAAATTTTATGTACTAGGCCTTTGTATAATGTGTTTAGTATTTACTCTTTTGTACGTCTTGAAGAATTAATGATTGTATATGTAATTTTTCGAATCTAAGCATTGATGTTTATTTTATAGTTATCATGACAAATCTGGTCAAACTCGAATTTGAAGCTCTCGATATATCTGGGAAAAATTATATCTCATGGACATTGGATGTCAAAATTCATTTGGCGGCAAGGGGATTGGAAAAAACAATAATCTCCCCAAATGATTCATCAATACAGAATAATGCTAAAGCAATGATATTTCTGAGGCATCATTTGAATGAGGCAATCTGCAGATCTCTGGAAAGCCTTGAAAGAGAGGTATGATCACCAGAAAACGGTGATTCTCCCCTGGGCTCGTTATGAATGGATGCATTTACGCTTCCAAGATTTCAAAACTATAAACGAGTACAGTTCAGCCATGTTCCGCATTTGCTCGGTATTGAAATTATGCGGAGAAAACATAACTGATTATGATATGCTGGAAAAAACGTTGTCCACATTCCACGCATCAAATGTACTTTTGCAGCAACAATACAGAGCAAAAGGCTTTGTGAAATATTCTGAGTTAATTTCTTGCTTGCTGCTCGCTGAACAAAATAATGAGTTGTTGATGAAAAATCATGAATCTAGACCCACGGGGTCTACTATGGTCCCTGAAATAAATGCTGTAATATCTAAATAGGGAACCGGAACTGAAAACAGCCAAACATATGTGCGTGGATATACCTCGGGACGTGGCCGGGGTCGTGGACGTGGACGTGGCCGTGGCCGTGGATATGGTCCAGATCGCTTGACCAAGTCCACAAATTTCACCGAGGGTATAACTCGGGTCGGGGATATAATCGTGGGCGAGGCCGTAACTATGCCCAAAATTTTGAAAGGGGGAGAAATTTCCAGCCAAAATTTGAACAGAATAATGTGACGGAGAATAATGATGAAAAGGCATGTTATCGATGTAGAAAGATGGGACATTGGGCACGCAATTGTCGTGCCCCGAGACAAGTTGTTGATAATTATAACAATTCCCAGAAATCAAAAGATAAGAATATAGACACCAATTTTATGATTGGGGAACCCTCTGAGGAGAGGTGGTCGGACATGGCTACTCCAATTGTGGCTGCACGAGAATGCTGAAAATTTTTCTAGTTAGACCTGTACGTCGGACCTCAACATCGGACTTCTTCGTCGAACCAGGTTACCTCAACATCGGACTTCTTCGTCGAACCGTTGCAGAGAGAAGATTACGTCGAGCTGACCCGAGAAAACGGCCACGCCGCGCTGGCCGGAGGAAACAAACGTCGATCTCCAGTCTCTCTGTCGCCAGCGAAGAGCTCCTGGCATAGCACATTGGCTAGAAAATGAGGTCTCAGTGTTGTTGACCAGTCGCCGACCAACGGAAATAAATTAATGTATTTATTATATAATTAATTTAAATATATTGATTAATACTTATTGATTAATACTAGTCATTGATCCAGACAAATCTATATATATAAAAAGAATTACCATTTTTTAAAAATGGCAAGTCAAACTGTGGTCAAATATGGTTGAGCATTAATTGCATGCTATTAATAGCAAGTTTTATTTTATTTTTTATTTACAAATGTGCATCATTAATTATTGCATTTAAATGTGGAGTTTGTTATTTATTTTTGCACAAGATTAGGTTGTTCCTTTTTCATTTTCACAAATTAAAAAAAAAAAAAACTTTCTTTAACATATAATCGTGTACCACATTACAAATTTTATTTTATTAAAAAATAAATTACATCTAATTTAATAATATAAACTTACGTTAGTATTTACAAAAAATCAAAAACTCTTTTAACATCAACTCGGCTACTACAATTGTTTTAACCAGATGCTTTTATTTTTTGTTATAAATTACAATTAATTTATTTGGTGGATTTGGTACATTTAATAAATTACAGTTCATTTAAACGCCTAAAAGATAAATTGGTGGATTTGGTTCCATTAAGTTCTATAAATTTTGATCATTGAATATAATTTAAAATTCAAAATCCTTTCTCATATTTTATTTAAAATATTCAGTTGTGTATTTTATTCCAAATAATCATTTTACCGAAAAAATTACCTTAAAACTTGAATTGAAAATTTGAAATCTAAAATCCCTTCTCATTTTAGTTGGCATAAAATTGGGTTTAATTCAAAAATCTCAAATTGAATTTAAAAATATCTAATCACATGCTTCTATCCTTGGAAGC